GAGAGAGAGAGAGAGAGAGAGAGAGAGAGAGAGAGAGAGAGAGAGATGAGCGATCCAAGATTGGTTGTCACTTACCTGTGAGGCGAGTTGTGTGGTCCGGTGGAGAAGGAAGATAGCGGCAATAGCCGCGGAGTATCGACACAGGGTATTGAAGAAGAGAGAGAGGGAGGACAGAGAAGGAGGGACTGAGGAGAGAGAAGGAGAAGTGTGGAAGGAGGGCACTGGAGAATAAGACAGACATAGTCGGTGGTGAACAAAAAAAATAAAAATATACAGAGAAAGTGAAGAAGAAGAAGAGTGAAGGAAGGGGAAGTAAGCGGCGAGGGTGACGAAGGTGAAGGTGCCGGCAGCCATAGCCAAGGTGAAGGGTTGACCGAGGGTTGACCAGAGGGTTGACCAGGGCATTGACCAAGGGTGTTGACCAAGCGTTGACTGGGGGTTGCCCGCGTTGACTCAGTGTTGACCAAGGCGTTGACCGGAGCTGCTGACCAAGATTTTGACCAAGCTGGAGTTGGTGATATCTCGCTGAGCCCTTAGCCTATCCCCTTATCCTGTGGATGTGCACCTACCCCACGGTACTTGCTGAGTCTGTCTGTCTACTCTTTCTGCATTGAGTCTCTTCTGTCCTAGGTGTTAGGACTCTGTGGATGAAGGATAGGGCCTTGCTGCTAAACCTGCACGGGACTTAGTAGGACTAATCTCTACTCTGGCATCTGGAGACCTGGGCATCAGCGGCGAGTGCTCGTTAAACAACTCGTCTAGCCCAATGACCGGTACTGTCCGGCAGGTCTACTCAGTTTCAGTGTAGAGGGTCCGAACTCCGAGCTGTAGGTTGAAACGAAGGCCGTCTTTAAGTGTTGAGGCCTGGTTGAACCACTCCCCTACCGGACCTAGTAAGGCTGATGATCTGTGTCTGACGACTCGACTGTCCCGAGGGATACGAACCCCTCCAAGGACCGGCACAGACCGGCGGGCTGCTCGGTGTGGCACAGTAGGCCAGAACGGCTGAGTTGTGGGCTGAAATCGCCAGAAAGAACTACGCTGATCTCGTCGTCCTGACTGCGACGTTAAAGAATTCTTGCGGAGTTTGGGGGATCTCCTTAAACGCCTCCTGATCCGCTGTTGGTTCAGTAGTGACAGCCTTAGAGTAGTTTTGAGTAGTGGTCTTTAGAGAGTCAGTTAGGGGGTACGTGTCCGGGTAGGTCTAAGTGGTGAGGAGTGGGACCTTTGTCGTGCACCTGACACCACGACGGATGACTATGTGATGTATGGGTTGCTTGTTGGGTTCTCCCTCTGGGGGACCCTTTGGCGTCTCCTCTTTCCTCTGGGTTTTTGGCCCACTTTCACGTGTAGAGTAGGGACTCAGGGTGGTGCTTCCACCCAGCCGTACACGAAGGAGGAGGAGGAGAAGATGGCCGCCGTCCTGAGGGAAAGAAAGGAGAAGAAAGAGGCCAAGAAGAAGGCCCTATATGAGGAGCAGGCGGCCAAGCTGAAGAAGATAGAGGAAGAGATGGCCAGAGAGAAGGAGAGAATAAAGAAGGAAGAAGAGGAGAAGTTGAAGGAGGTGGATGAGGAAGAGGAGGAAGATGAAACACCACTGCAGAGGAAGAGAGTGCAGTACAGTGGCAGCAGAGACGATGAGATGGAGAAACGGATTTCATAGTGGGTCGCCAACTTATCCCTGGGTGAAGAAGAAGAGGTGGCAATGTATATACCCAAGGATGACCAGGAAGCCGCTATAAGAGCTTGGGAAGCAGAGGAAGATGTCATAAAGCGGCAGGCGATGGAAGATGAGAAGAGGATGGAGTGGAAACTGGCAGTGATGAGCGAGAAGAAGAGAAGAGTGGACGTGGCAGCGGAGGCGGCAGAAGAATTAGAAGAGGTGAAAAAGATAGAAGAGCAATTAGCCGCCCAGACTGAACTCCCAAAGAAAATGGAGGTCATAGCCCGAAACGTTGCACGCTTAGCACGCATTCAGGCAGAGCAATATGACTTCAGTAGGAGTCAGCATATCGCCGTGCGTTCAATACGATTGGGCTTTCGGGACTTTGCTCGTGAGTTGGTAGGCGCTGTAGGAGCCGAGGTGGGCCACCACCTCGACAAGACTGAGCGGTTTTGTGCTGGCGCCATTGAGGGTGTCAAGGCGGCAGCTCCCAAGGAGGAGGAACCGCGTCCGCGTAGAGAGCCAGTCAAGGTCAAATTCCCTGATTCCTACAGTGGGAAAAGGGAAAAAAACTTTGATAACTGGGAGGCCAAGTCAGGACTTATGTGCATCTGCAACAGGTCTCCCCAGATCAGCAAGTTCTAATTGCGATCCACGCACTTAGAGATGAGGCCGCCAGTTTCGCAAGGTCCCTTGTTCGCGCTGCCAACTGCAGTGACGATCCAGTTGCGTATTCCTCGTTCACTCCCCTCGCTGAATTCTTGAAGTCGCTGTGCGAGCGATTTGCTGATGTCGCTCGAAGTGTCAAAGCCTCGGACGAGCTCCAGACGATCCATGCCCGTAAGTGGAAGAGTGTCAGGGCACTCAAGAGCACAATGGACGAATTAGTAGTTGTCCCTGACCACGGGGTTACAGACACCCAGTTGGTTGCCCTCTTCTATAGAGCGATGCCCGAAGCTTTTCGCGGGCACTTCTTCGCGAAGAGCGAAGACCCTGCCACCACTTATGATTCCCTTAGCCGTGAAGTGGTGGCCTTTGAGGCAAAATCTGTGTCAGTCTCCACCTTCTGGCACAAAGATTTGGATAAGGGAAAGCAATGGAAGGGCCGCACTATCTCTGGGAAGGTGAAGACTAAGGATAGCCTTGTCCTAACTCTAGATGAGGGTAGTGTGGATGAGATACCCTACGATCAGATTGAGTGGGGGTTAGAGGAGGAGGACAGCGGTGTGGGCCAGGGGAGAACTTACGCTGCTGTCGCGGCTGGAGGGAGGCCGCAAGGAGGAGGACGAGGCCAGGGCCAAGGGGGCCGGGCCTCAGGGAGCCGGTTCCAGGGCGACCAGGGGGTTGGCGGCAGAGGAGGAAACCGCCAAGTGGGAGGAAGGGGTCAAGGTCCCCCGCAAAACCATCCTAGGAACAGGTCTCCCTATAGGGTAGGAGGATGGCACCCAGGGCTACCCCAGGGTAGGCCTTGGGAAAGTTTGGGTCTGGACCAGGACTTATGGCAAAAGCGATTGGACCGGGGCCAGTGCATTTTCTGCGGTGACCCGGGCCATATCATCAAATACTGTCCTAAGTATAGAGAGACCCGGACGGTTGCTCAAGGGCCAAAAGGCAGCCGCCGGTAGGGGTAGCAACTGCCCCTACCATTAGGCCATGTGGGGAACATAGCGCTAGCCGGCAAGAGACTCCCACACCACATGTGCCTATGGCAGAGGTTGCAGGCCGGTGTCTGGATTGCTGTCCAGAGACTACTTGTGTTAGAGTCTCTCTAGACACCTCCCTCACAGACGTGGTTGATGAATTAAAGGAGAGGATGCCCGCCTGGGCCAAGATGAAGAAAGAGAATAAAGGGCAGCTTATATTACTAGATACAGAGATTTTTAGAGGTAAAGGGCCCTAGTAGACTCAGGGGCCACCCGCAACTATATTAGTAAGAAAGCGCTGCAGAAATTGAAGCTGGGACTTAAAGTACAGAAACTAACAGACCCCATGGTTAGTATCCTCGCGGACAATCGTACTATGGTTGCAGAGGATTACGTAGAGGGAGTCCAGGCGTATTTTCGCCTAGAGAAGGATGGGAAAGTGGAAAAGGTCCTCCACTCCCTGACTCTCCTCGTAGAAGACAGCCTCCCATTTGATATTGTTCTRGGRATGGATTGGGGAGAGGCAGCCGGGGCCACGCTCCATTTGAAGGAGCACGAGTGTAGGATCCCTAGTTCTTCAGGCGAGGCCAAGACTGCCCACCTGTTCCATGTGTCAGGAGTAGAGAATCCCTTGGCACATTGCTGCCTTAGTGCTCCTGCGTTCGCCAGATTAGTGAAAAAGGAGAAATTGGAGGAACAGGTTTTTGTTGCCTATGTTAGGCCAGTGACTGAGCCTACGGAAGAAAAGTCGATGAACCCTGCGATTGCCAAGCTGCTGGAAGAGTTCAAGGACCTAACTGAGCCGCCGATAGGAGTGGTACCGCGGCCCATCCAACACCGCATTGAGATAGAGCCTGACAGTAGAACTCCTAAGGGCGCCGTGTATAGGATGTCCCCACGGGAGTTAGAGGAGCTTCGCAAGCAATCAGACGAGCTCCTCGAGAAGGGTTGGATTAGGCCCAGTTCGTCTCCTTTTGGAGCGCCTGTTCTCTTTGTTCCCAAGAAAGAGGGAGAGCTGAGAATGTGCATAGACTATAGGGGTCTAAAGCTATTACAGTGAAGAATGTTGAGCCACTGCCTAGGATAGACGATCTCTTAGATCGAGTGCAGGGGACGAAGTATTTCTCCAAGATAGATTTGAAGTCCGGATATCATCAGATAGAAGTGCATCCTGATGATCAGTATAAGACAGCCTTCCGGACTAGATATGGGCACTATGAGTTCATAGTAATGCCCTTTGGACTAACCAATGCGCCAGCTACGTTCCAGCGCTGTATGAACGATTTGTTTAGGCCATGGTTAGATAGATTTGTTGTTGTCTACTTAGATGATATTTTAGTGTTTGGTAAGACCCTCCAAGAACACCAGGGTCATCTCAGGCAGGTCTTGGAGAAGCTGAGGGAAGCTAACTTCAAGATCAATGCAAAGAAGTGCGATTGGGCAAAAACCCAAGTTTTATACCTAGGCCACGTCTTAGACGGAGACGGCGTTAAACCAGAAGATTGTAAAATCGCAGCGATTAGAGATTGGCCGACGCCACGTACGCTAACAGAGTTGCGCTCGTTCCTGGGCTTAGCTAATTACTATAGGAAGTTCGTGAGGAACTTCTCCACCATCGCTGCGCCCCTTCGCAGATTGTTGAGGAACGAGACCATCTGGAAGTGGGACAAGGACTGCACGTCTGCCATGAAGAAGTTAAAGCAGGCGTTCATAGAGTAGCCGGTCCTTAAGGTAATTGATCCGTCCTTGCCCTTTGTCGTCACTACGGATGCTAGCTAGTACGGCATAGGCGCGGTGTTGCAGCAAGACGATGGCAATGGTTATAGACCCGTAGAGTTCATGTCCGCCAGGATGCCTTCAGAGAAGGTCGCCACATCTGCCTATGAGAGGGAACTCTACGCTCCCAGGCAAGCCTTAGAACAATGGAAGCACTACTTGCTTGGGAGGCACTTCAAAGTCTATTCCGATCATGAGACGTTAACATGGTTAAAGACACAGGCCAAGATGACACCTAAGCTTACTAGGTGGGCCGCAGAGATAGATCAGTACGACTTTGAGCTCAAGCCAGTCAAGGGGAAGTATAACGTAGTTGCGGATGCTCTAAGTAGGATAGCTGATTACTTTGGGGCAATAGTGCATTACTTAGACATAGGGAAGGACCTGCAGCAGAAGATTAGAGAAGCCGATGCACAGGACCCTATCTATAGTGACCTCCTCAAGAAGGTCAAGGAGGCCCCAGAGACTGAGCCAAACTACCGCACTACGGAAGGGTTGCTTTTTTAGAAGACTAATGTATTTGACCGCCTGTGCATTCCCAATAGTGAAGAGATCCGTAGTCTGATTTTGGGAGAATGCCACGACACAAAGGGTCATTTTGGTTGGCAGAAGACTTTAGCCAATCTGATGCGCGCATATACCTGGCCAGGGATGAAGAATGACTGTGTAGAGTGTGTTCGCAGTTGTAAAGTCTGCCAGCGTAACAAGACTTCTACGCGTGCCCCGTTAGGTCTTCTCAGACCCTTGCCCATTCCGGATCAGCCGGGAGACTCAGTGTCCATCGACTTCATGGACACTCAGGTCAAGAGCAGGCATGGCAAGAGCCAAGTCATGGTCATAGTTGACCGTTTTAGTAAGTACGCGGTTTATGTTCCTTTGCCTTCAAAGGCACGTACTGATTTAGTCATACAAAGGTTTTTTGACTGTTGGGTGAGTGAGAATGGAATCCCACTGTCAATAGTTAGCGATAGAGATAGTCGCTTCACCAGCCAGAACTGGCAAAAACTCATGGGAGTGTATGGATCTAAGTTGTTGATGTCGTCCGGCCGCCGTCCAGAGACTAACGGTCAGACCGATCAGATGAACAAGATCCTACAGCAAGTTCTGCGCATGTACATTAGRCCAGATCAGATTAACTGGGATGAGATGCTGCCTAAAGTAGCTATTGCGTACAATAACAATGTGCATCTGTCCACTTGCCGCACTCCCAACGAACTGCACAAGTCCTTTAGGCCCCGTAGACCATTTGAAGGACTCAATCGGGATCAGATTCACAGATTGCCGCCCGGGACCAGGGAGTTTGCTGTGCAACACGAAAAAGAACTAGCTACTGTTGTAGAAAACCTCAGGAAGGCCGAGCACAAGATGATAGAGCAAGCCAACAAGCATCGTCGCCCCTCACAGTTTCAAGTAGGCGACTTAGTCTGGGTCACTTCTAAAGAGTTTGCCCCTGAGGAGAACATCTCGCAAACGTTACTGCCCACCTATAGAGGACCGTGGCCAGTCTTGGAAGCCAAAGGCGGAGAAGATGGGCCGTCCTACACCATAGAACTCCCAGCACACCTCCACACTTACCCAGTTTTTCATGCATCGAAGTTGCTACATTGTCAAACAAGTGATCAGTTTCCATCCCGTAGGTCGATGATCCCACCGGATATGGATGGAAGATATGACATCGATGGTATAGTGGCTGAAGATGTCTTCAGGACTGGAGGTAGGGGTCATCCACAGAAACAGTACAAGGTTCATTTTAGTTATCAAGAACCGGAAGACGACCGCTGGTTTACGAGATCTGAACTTCTAGAGACAGCTCCCGATATAGTCTGGGCCTACGAGAGACAACAGAGAGGTAAAGGTCCTGCCTTGGACTGAAATTTTCTCGGAGGACCTCGAATTTAGGCCGGCAGGAGTGAAACGGTATTCACCAGTTCGCAGTAGCTGATGCAGATCCCAGGGCTCGATCCCTAGTTCCCCATCTTACCTGTGTACAGTACCGGTGTCAACCCGTAGATTTGAACCTGCGACCTGTAGGACCGCCAGTGGTAGGTAGGATTTTGTAGGTTACAGGGTAGAGGAGATTCGAACTGTAGACCTGTCGGGTAGAGGTCTAGACAGTCTAGAGGTCGTAGCTGTAGACTGTCCGAAGGGTCAAGGTCGTAGCTGCTACTTACCTGAAAGGGCAAAGTCGTAGCTGCTACTTACCTGAAAGGGCAAAGTCGTAGCTGCTACAGTACCGAAAGCCCAAAACAGAGAGTTCTAGAAGTGGCCTTTCGGAGTCAGCCTACGTTAGACAGAGGCAAGTGGTCAAGTGGTGGCAGTCCACCTCGTACAGTCAGCAGTCCNCAGAGAGTTCTAGAAGTGGCCTTTCGGAGTCAGCCTACGTTAGACAGAGGCAAGTGGTCAAGTGGTGGCAGTCCACCTCGTACAGTCAGCAGTCCTAGTCCACCCAGTCCGGTCCAGTCAAGCAAGTACCGTCTGGGACTGTTTGCACCATGGGCCAGGGGACACAGGGTAGACCAGCGAGGCACAGAAGTATAAATCAAGAGGTTGCGTCCAGCCATTCATTTCATTCAGGCGGAAGACATGCGGAAGCGCTGCTTCAGCGTCTTGTGCAAGGAGGTCTGTTGAAGGCCCGAAGACGAAGTGGGCGAGAGTGAAGCAGGATAGCCATAGCGATAGGTAGCGGCAGCCATAGCTGCCATAGCTTAGTATAGGGTGCAGTGTGTGTGTACTGTGTGAGTGTTCAGAGTGACGTGTGTGGGACATCTAGGGTGATCCAGAGTGTGAACAGTGAGTTGTTTGGGCGCACAGCCGCCATAGCCAATTGAAAGAGAACTCTTATCTCGTTGCGATATCTCTGAGTACTTTGTGGGCGCCTGTCGCCAGTTTGTCTGTTGCTGTTCACGTGTGAATAAGTGGAGTCTGATTGCAATGACATACCGACAAGATCGGGATGTAAATGGCAGGACCAACATATCACAATAATGGGCGATACAAGGGTTAGAAGGGAGAAGTTGACTCACATCCACCACACATAACCATGTTATCAAGGAGAGAAGCACACTCGTACACACAAAGTTGGTCGAGGATCTCTTTGAAATTATGATCATGAAGTACATGGAAGTCATCGAGTCGTCAACCGTTCCCGAGCATGCCACGACACTTAGATAATACCGCAAACTAGCATAAAGCAAACTGATACAGAGACTGATACCGCGACATGTTTCAGCCGACACCAGTCTTCTTCTTCTTCTTTTTTTTTTTCCTTCTTCTTTTTGTATCAAAAGCCCAGGTTGTTGTAGAGGTTGGATTTCTAGACATGTGAGGGGTGCCTTCGGCACTTGGCCATGCGGTATTCCTATGGAACTTCCCTTCCAACCTACCACTTTCATAATTTCCCCCGGTGCACCTCTACTCCTACGGTCCTACCTTATCCACTAAGGACCATCACCTTACAGTCTATTACAGACGGAGGTGACCTGACCGGACAGTGGTCGCGAATATCGGGCCCTACTTACTGTATTCAGTCCTGATCAAAGCATAGATGTATGAGCCTTGCCACACCGGTACTTCGGGCGCTAGGACTAGCCATATCTCTACAGGTGGTACGATTTTCCGATATTTTATTGTGTGGTGATGATAGATATCTCAAAGTCCACTGTTCCCTCATGTGTCCCTGGAGCCCGTTCTGGCCCCACGGTAACATGCAGTATCTCCTGACACCCCCAACATCCCGTACTTAGGAACTGCTATGCCAGCCTCAACCCTGTGCTACGTACTAGAAGGATAGCCAACCCTTAGTCATGAGTTATGGACTGAATCTATATATTGTGTAGTTCTCTGCTCGAACATGATGGTGCGAGGCAGGAAATCACACACCGGATATCACCAATCCAGATCGGTCAGAGACGGGGAGGTCCCCGCGTCCGTCACAAGCACTTCTAGGCGAGTCGATCCCAATCGCATCTCGATGGGCAATATCCACCATCGGACAGCGTCGAACCTTGGTGATCAATGTAATTCATTGTTCACTAACGAACTGTGAGGAAATGTGCTAAAGTTTGGAGCCGTCGAAATATTGTTTGAAGTAATGACGAAGTTCGCCGCTATCTAGACTTCGCTTGTCGTCTTGTATGTGAAGTCCGGATGTCGGCGAACTTGTCGTTAAAGGCCCTCTCACACCCCGCTCCGTCCAACTCGAGTAATCCGTGCATATGGCGAACCTGTTATCCTACTCATATCCCCCCCCCCACCACCCCCACGA